TATTGATGCCCAGGCTGCTTCTGAGGAATTTTAGAACTGGCAGCTTCTGAGAGGCAGTGTAATGAGTGAAGAGTCCTGGCTTACAAGGCAGATGGACTAGGGTTTATAGCCTGGCTCTACCACTTACTGGCTGTGCATCCTTAGGCAAGTGTCTGCACTGCTCTGAGTTTCTTTCCTTCTCTGTGAAGTAGAGTTAATGACATCTACATCATAGTCTTGTGAAGGGTTTAGAAGTGCCTAGCATCTAGCCGGAATTTGATACACAGTGGCTAGTATAACATTTCAGTGACTTGAGATTAAAGGTTTTTCTCTCTTTAATTTGGGCAAAAACATTTCCCACCACTGACTGCTTTTTCAACTAGTGGCAGAGGTCAAAAGTGGGCTCCAGATGTGAGATCAACTGGAGTTGATCCAGTTCATCAACTCAGCTGCTGGCATCTGTCTGCACATCTTGGCTAGAAGAACACAACTGCTTTTCCTCTGAATTCTCATTGCTACCCAAGAGCTCTCCTTAACTAGGAAAACAGACACCTTACTTCCAAGGTCTTTCCTGCCCACTCTATTTAAACAATTTTTAACTGTACAATTCAGCGGCATTAAGTACCTTTGTAATGTTTGCAACCATCACTGCTATCTACTTCTGGAACTTTTTCATCATCCTCAACAAAAACTCTGTACCATTTAAGCAATAACTTGCCATTTCCCCTTCCCTCTGGAAACCTCTATTCCATTTCTGTCTGTATGAATTTGCCTACTCGAGGTGCCTCATAGAAGCAACGAACGCGAAGCAGGATTAGAGAGCAGGTCCCACAGAGCAGGGGTGTGGATCTCATTCCAAGTGGATGCAAACCACCAGCATGTTTTAAACAGGGGTGTAGTACAGTCAGAGTTCACTTTTAAAAGAACCTCTATGGCTGCTAAGGAGCCAATAGTAGGTAGGGTGGAAGAGTGGGAGCAGGAGCCTGTGGGGTGGGTGCAGTTGTCTAGTAGAAAGCAGTTGACCTGGGCGAGAGAGGCCTGAACAGTGAGAAGACATCTGAGCTGGATGTGGGATGAGAGAGAGAGAGGGGTCAAGGATGACATCCTCCTCACCTGTCCCTGCACCCAGGTCCCTTCCTGAGCCACTCCCTCTGCCTGAGAGCCCTTTCCTTTCCTTTGCCTGAACAACTCCTGCTGTGGGTTAGTTCTCACACGGCTCTTCCTTTCCCTCCTCCCCTTCTTCCACCCTCCCACCAGGCTGGGCTGGGAGCCCCTCTTCTGCATTCCCACAGTACCCTAGGTCCCAGCCCAGTGCTTGCCATGCTGCTGGCCATTGCCTGTTCCTACATCTGTCCCCAGCCTGGACCATGAATGTAAAGAAGCAAAATTGGGTGTGACATATTTCACTCCCAAGCCAAGCACAGAATGGCACATTGTGACATTTCAATATGAAAGCATGAAAGACAGAGAGACTAAGCATTGCTACACTTTAAGCACAGCTTCTGGCTTCCTCAAACTGCTCCCGTGGCAGCACACACACATGGGTCCAACAGCTGGCAGGAGTCACTCCAGGTACACTGCAGCACGGAGAGTGAGCCAGGAGCCCGGACGCTGACCAGAGAGTAGGACTCGGTGCCACTGAAATCTCCCGAGTGACCCACATCAGCTGCTCCTACCTTCCCTTGCAACAGGTGACCAGGGAAAATACACAGTGCTTTGTGCCTAAGACAGAACCATTCTGGCAGGGAGAAGCTGGGAAGCAATACAGCTTATGATTGGGCATATGCCTGGAGTCCAACAGCCTGGTTTCAGGGGGCACACTGTCATTTTCTAGCTGCATGACTTTGTGGAAGTGATTTACCTTCTCCCGGCCTCTCCTACCTGTAAATTGAGGGTAGGAATTGCACCTAATTATTGAGAAAATCAAGTCTGTTAATAACTGTAAATGGTTTACAACAGGGCCTGGAATGTAGGGAGATCTTAAGAAATGCTGGCTTTATTTTGTTACTTTTCTGTCTTCTGCCAAGTTCTTGTTCCTACCTAACAGAATGATTTAAGGGCTAGATGTTTCATATATTTCCTTCTTTTTAGTCTTTGCTTTCTGCCCTCTTTAAAATCTGAATTAGAGATTCATTGTGCACGGAGGACATGCAAGGAAGGGAAGGTGATAGAGCTTTGGAATGTGTCCTAATGCTTGCAAGAAGCTAGTACTGCCCTCCTATCTTTAGATGAGCTCAGAGAGGTGAGGTATCCATCAGCTGCCACACAGCAAGTAAGCTAGAGTGTCAGGATATGAGTCCGAGTGAGCCTGCGCTGAATCCATGGTTTCCCCTCCTACATGCTGCTGCTCATGGGACCTGTGACGTGACCCTGAGCATCACTGAGCCCAGGAGAGGTGTGAGCTCTATGACGAGCTTCTCTAGAACTCAGGGAGAAAGCCATTCCTGACCTTTTCCTGCGTGTGTGGGTGTAAAAGACATTGCAGAGGGAAAGGAAAAGCAAATGAATGAACCATTGGCTCTTGAGGCTGACAATAGACTTTGGTCGGGGGGTGAAGGTTGTTAAACATTGATGGCTTAAAGCAGGATTATCCACAGCATCTCTACCCTCTGTTTTTACTTCTTTTTGTGATGAACAGTAGTCAAGAGAGGCCCCTACGCCTCTATTCTGGTGCCTGCTGACTTCCAAGAACAGGAGCCTGTACTCTTAGAGCCTTTGTCTATTCCAAGGATATTACCAAGAGCTTATAGAGGTAGAGGTGAGGAGGGGAGGTGGAGGCAAAAGGTAGAGGACAGACAGAAACCGGGCTGAGGATTTGGCCTTGGGGTGAAGAAGCTCCACCCGACTCCCAGATTCCCAGGGTGGCGGTGACCAGACTCTGCCCAAGTCCTTTGGGTGGCTAGGCAGGAAGCAGCCTGCGGTGTGGCCAAGCTCTCGTTGAACCTGGGCTACAGCCATCAGATGCTGGAGCTAGGGGGACTTCCACAAAGGCACCCAAGTCATTTGCACCTGCTGGTCAGACCCAACATGCTGCCTGGGAAGAGGGACAAGGAGGAGATGGAGGCACCACTCCGGTATCGAAGAGTCCTTTGTGAGAGGGAGGGAGGAGACCCCATCTCAAGGCTGGAGGGGGTAGCAGGGGCTGAGCTGTAGGGCCAGAGGGACTGGGTTTGGCTCCTCCTCCTTCCTGTGTTTCTGGGGCAAGCCTGAACTTCAGCTACCTTATCAGTTAAAGGATACACTGTGAAATCCACACCGCACATTTGCTTGTTGTGAGGACACAGTGACGTGGAAGTGTCTGAACCATAGCAGGTGCCCAGCAAACGGTCCCTTGCATCTTCCTCCTTGCAACGGGCCAGGTGCAGGCGGGGAACAATGCCCCAGAGAACCCTGGTGCGTCAGAGCAACAGTGATGTGATTCATTCCAAGGGCAGATGGCAGGGAGTGCTCATTGAGTGCTGGCTGCCCACGCCCTCTTTTCCAACCTCACAGGAGCCTGATGAGCTAAGCACTAATATCCCCATTTTACAGATAAGCAAACTGAAACTGAAGTTGAAAACTTGTCTAAGGTCTCCCCACTGGTGAGTGGCAGAGCTGGGACCCAAACCCACATCTTACATATAATTAGGCGCAGCCCTTTCCTACGAGGTGGAGAGGAATCCCAGAGGAGGAGGCTCCTGGCCCCCACCCCTCACCTGGGTAGATTCAAGGCTTCCTGCCCCAGAGGGGTGAAGGAATGAATGGAGACTTTGGGGTCAGATAATCTGGGATCTGGATCCTGGCTTGATGACTTTAATTGCTGCATGTTTTTGTGTAAGTTTCTCAGTTCTCAAGCCTCTTTTTCCTCATCTGGAAAATGGGGATAATATTCACCAGCTGGCCACGTTGTGAGGATGAAACCCCTCAATTTGTCTAACTGCCTGGTGCAGCCTAGGTGCCCCTGCCAGCCTTCTGAAATAATTGTGCTTCCCACCATAAACTGCTTGACTGAATCTCCTGCTGACTGAGGAGAGAAGCATGTTCTCTTCCAAATCAAAGCTCCCCTCACCCTCCTCGCCCCCAAGGTTCTGGAAGGTATTTGTAGCCATGACAAGTGCAGCCTTCAAGCTGCTGCTGGCACCGGCCAAGGGTACACATGAGGTGGGCATGCCGCCCCATCGGGTCTGCATGCAAAGGCACATCGCAGCCCATATTTTGAGGGGGATTTCATGATACTCGTTTTGTGTTGCTGCCAGAGAAAAGTAAACTGCGGCTCCTGGCTGCCGGGGAAGGGCTCTGCTTCTGCCAGGGATGGTTGTGCCTGGCACCAACTCAGGCATGTCCCAGAGCCAACTGTCAGTTGCAGGCAAATGTATGTGCAAAAACATTCCGACACACGCATGCACCATCCCAGCACACAACACGGGCAGTGCACGCTGGAGTCCTCTGCCTCTTCCGCTTCCGATGCCTCCCCTTGCCGTGGGCCTCTCAGTGCCCGTCTGTCTCGAGGTCTGTTGTTTCTCTGTCCACGCAGGTTCTGAGTCTGTCTTCTGGGTTCCTTATCTCTCTTTCTCTGACTCTCTGTTTCTACCGGTGTCTCTGGGTTGCCCCGTCTCTGACACTCTTTCTGCCTGCTTTTCTGCCTCTTTCATGCTTTGTCTGTATTCTCTTCCTGTCTCTTTGACATTGTCTCGTTCTCTTTCTGATTCTCTCTTAATCTTCTGTTTCACTGTTTCTTTGATTCTCTGTCTCCATCTGTTTCTATATCTGTCTGAGACTCTGTCTCTCTCTGTCTCCACATCTACCTATCTCCATCTTTCTCTGTATCTGACATGCTCTCTTTCTCTTTTCCCATATCTCTCTGTCCATCTGTCTCTCTGACTCTCTTTCTGCATCTGTCTGTCTTTCTCTAACTCTTTCTGCCTCTGTCCTTCCCTACCTCTCTCTCCTTTTTTCTGAGACACTCTACTGGAAATGCATCAAAGACTGAAGTGGCCAGATTTCAAGTGACAAACAGCACTACACCCAGAATCCACCCCCTTCCAGCACGGCTGCCTGCCTCCTCCACATCCCGTCACGAAGAGAAGCCTATTGTGTCGGGCCCAGGGAGTTGGAGTTGAAGTGCCCGGGGTCCGCGCCTCTGACTGCTCTGAGCTACTTCCCCATTGGCTCCCAGCAGCTTGTGCTCCGCACGGGCTCAGCGGCAGGGGGAGGCGGTAGTCCATAAAAGGGGGGGCGAGGCACCAGAACTGCCATTCCGAGGGGCTTCGGTGGCGCCTCCTGCCGAGCCGGAGTCAGGCAGGCCCCTGAGTCTTGGACCGGCCACCTGCCACCACCCCTCCAACCTGCTGGGCCGGAGGCTGCTCAGGGGCAAAGAAGAGCACAGGTAACATCCAGAAAGGCACTGGACTCTCTTGGTTTTATTAATTTTTCTGGGTCCTCTGGTGCTGGAGGTGGTGGCAGCTCGGGAGGGGAGATTTCAGGTTTGGGTCTGAGTATCTGGCAGAGGAGGTTGCAGTTACGGGGCCCGTTTACAAACACCAGATCAGTGCGAGGCAGACTGCCCTTTGGAATTTCCCTCTCTGTGAAGCCGTGGCTGAAGCAGGTGGGTAGCTCTCTCCTGAGAGGACCACCCCTCAGGTTCAGCTCCAGGGTCGTCTTCCCTGTGCAGTGTGCCCCCTTGTGAGCGGTTGCCCTGGACGGAAGCAGTGAGAGGCTTAGCTAAACAGGGTGATTTTAAAGGTCAGTGATTCTCATCGGACTTAGAGAACAAGGGCTTGGGGACATTAATGAGATTTGGGGCTCTGGCATTTACCACGTATCATGTACATCAATGTACAACCAAGTTCAGCCTTTTCATTCTCTTTAGATCCTGTTTAATTGCTGACAGGGTGCTGGCTTGAGGGCTTCCTCAGATGTAATTTGATGCAGAAATGAAGTTTGGGGTTTTATTGTTGGGAGAGATTGGGGAAAGAGAGTGACAGCATGCCAGGCATAGGAGGATTTTTCTTGTCAATTTTGCTTTGAAAGGACTTGTTGCCTTCATGTAAATTACAATCTGAGAAGTCCCAGTTAGGTAAGGAAGACACTCAGATGGGGAAAGGTATTTGCTCACCGATAAAGAGATCTACATTCCAAGAAAGTATCACAGAATCCCAAAGTTGGATTCTAGCGAAAAACTGGTGAGCTTCAGGGGAAAAAAAAAAGGTTGACTAGTAAATTCTGAGACCTCATACTTTTTCCCAGGTGTCTTTTATCTATAAACTCTCCAAGCTTTACAAACATTCCTTAATTAAGCCTGCAAGCTTCCCAGGAGGAAGGAGCTCTTCAGGTTATTGTATCTGATTTCAGCTCCCCTTCCACAGACAAAAGTCTTCATTAACATCTTTCTTCCAAGGGTTGGTAAAGTATACAAGGCTTGTCTTTCTAATTTGACAGGCATTCCAGTCCAGATCCATTGCAAAACATTTCAGAATGTCAATTCTCTTCACTTTCTTGTCCACCGCCCTTCCCACCACTGCATCTTCTTTCTATTTTCCCCTCATTTCTCTCCCCAGTCCCACCCCACCTTGCCTTTTTTTCTATTTTTGCAGGTCATTTATCTCCAGGCTTTGAGATCTGCGTGGGGGAGCTGTTGCAGCAGCCCAAGCGGGTGAGTTATGCTGCCTGGGGGAGGCTGCGTTTGCTGATGGGATCCCAAGCACACTGCTCTGCCCCAGATGAGCTAGAGGTGTGATGTCCGTTGGCAGCTGGGAGTGGGATGTTACTGTGGTTCCTGGGGAGCCCAGAGCAGCAAAGAGACCCGCTCTGGGGCTGTTTGAGAAATTTGCAATCATCATAAAGCACATGGAAAGGGATTAAAACCCCTGGGAACCAGGAATTTTCCACATATTATCTAAATTTGTGTCTTATGATACTTGAGGCAATGTTGGAGTTTGAGTCCCAGGTCCCGCCATTCATTTGCTGTGTGATTTGGGGACAGTAGTTGTCCCTCTCTGAACGTTAATTCCTCGCCTGTACAATAAGGTAATAGTAACACTTCCTAAGGTGATTGTGAGACTCCTTGGGACACTATAATAGGCTTGGCATTTAGTAGGTGTTCAATAAATGCTAGAGGGACTGTTTAAGTTTTTGCTGTCCAAAGTGGCAGAGTTGCCCCCCCCCCCCCGCCCATCTAGTATAATATCCTTGGTCATCCTACTCCATCGTGCTGTGTGCTGTGTCCAGGACATATGACCTAACGTCTAATATTTCTGTTTGTGGGGCTGGTACTCCTCTCCCCTCCCCTCTGTTTGGGGGGCCGGTACTCCTCTCCCCTCCCCACTCCATTCTCTCCCTACCAACAGAACATTTTATTTCTTCATCTGTTGCCTCAGGATCATGAAGTCCCTTCTAGATCGATCCTCCCCAATTCCCCCTCCCGCTGTCCACCTCCTTGGGTCATTCTTGCACAATTGTATTTATTAGATGTCTTCCATCATTCTAAGCAGGATCAATAGTTAGTGGTCTGATTTCAACGCATGTCTGAGACAGTACCGTCAGCTAGTTGATTTCTCTCACCCTTGTTGCCCATCTTGGCCCATAAATGTTGGTTAATCTCACTGCGTCTGACAGACAGATAAAACGATTTCACTGAGCTGGTCTTTGTGGCAGGCCGCAAGCATTTCTGAAGACACTCAGATAAGCCCGGGATCAGGCCCTGAAGATGGAGAGGTGTCCCTGGGTCCTCGGAGGTTGGAACTCATTCATCCCTCCCAGACTGGGTCCAGATGATGCTCCTGACAGGAGGGTAAATGGCCCAGATGCATGGGGCACATCCCCAGGCTCAGGAGGCACATCCCTGAGATCACCCGGCTAACCAATGGCCATAGGGGTTGGCTGCAGGCGGACTCGCCAGGGGCCAAATTCGTCCACTGGCTCCTTTACCTATTGTGGGACAGTCTGCTCAACCTGACAGGGGTTTACTGAGCAGTTATTATGTGGGTGGGTCCTGGTCCATGGGCGGGCTTAGCAACAACACTGTCCTCCAGTTTTGGGGGTCTCCCTTTGCCACTGGAGACCCACGGGCATGGCCTTTATGTTTTCGGGTGGGATGAAATCCTGAGATCGTCTTGTCTTCAGGGATGGTGCTTGTAGTACAGCATCCTCCTGAGTCCAAGTCCACTTCTTCTGCTGCCTCTCTCTCACCTTGTTCCCTGCCCTTCTCTAGTCCCTGTCCTCTGCCTCCTCTTCCTCTTCCTTGTATCTTCTCCCTCATTCCCATTCACTCTCCCCCTGTCTCCGTTTTCTTTTCCCACACGGTCTGCCATCTCTCTCTGCTTCTCTCGGTGTCTTTACTCTTTCTCTGCATAGGTAAGAGTCTCCGCCATGCTTTTTGGTCTCTCTCTGTGTCCCTGTCTCTCTGTCTCTCCTGGTCTGGCTCTCTCTTTTTGTGTCTCTTCATCTCTGTCTCTCTGGTCCACCCTCCTTTGCCTTTCTCCCCATCCCTTAAATGCATCAAATGACAAAAGTGGGGTTCCATGTGAATCCTGCTCTTAAAAAAGCTTTCTTTTAAAAATGCAGATATTGGGCCCACTGTGGCCCTGGATGCAGGCCTGTCATTCACTCTGCTCTCTGCACAGCAAATGCCCAGCAGAGGGGGGCACTCATCCTCTGTTGCGTGTTTCAGCTCTTGCTGGACTAAGTGGTGCATTCACTGCCCATCCAGAACCCGAGCCTCTCATCCACCCCTGCCAACCCCCTACAAGCTAATAACCCATCCCTTGTTAATGGCACTAAAGGCTTAGCAACAACACTGTCCTCCAGTTTTAGAGGTCTCCCTTTGCCAGCCCACTGGAGACCCATGGGCATGGACTTTATGTGTTTTCAGGTGGGATGAAATCCTGAGATCATCTTATCTTCAGGGATGTGGGTTCGGTGGGGGATCTGATGGACCTTCAACACGTACCTAACCTCAGGGGTGGTTTGTGGCGTGGGGTTGCAGCCTGACCTCAAGCCTGTTTCAGCCACATCCTTGCCTCTTGTTCTTGATCAGTCATCTCTCCTCTCTGAGACTCTGTCCCTCATCTGGAAAATGGGGCTAGTAGTGCCCAGCCTACTGGATTCTCCTCAGAGTGAACAGGTAATAATTGAGATAAAATGCACAGCAATGAACTTGGCCCCATAGCTGTGCCCCAACAGGGGACTCCATGGACTCGGAGAATTCCAACTCTGCCGTGTAGGGCTCTGGGCCTTGAGGCCACTTTGTCACTTGTCCCTCACTCTTCCCACCTGGACCTCGGCCTGTAATGACAACACCTGTCTCGTAGGGCCCATGCGGGGCTGAGGGCCTGGCACAAGCAGCAGCACAGGGCTCCTGGGCTGTCATGACGTATACTGTCAGACGGTCTTTGAAACGACGCCATTTCCTTAGTGCAAATCACCCGGGGTGTGGGAGGCCCCAGCTCCATCTCCATTTGCCTCCTGACTCATGATGTGACCTTAAACAAGTGACTTCATTTCTACCTTTTCCCATTTCCTCTTCTATCAATTAGGGATAATCATATGCAACAAAGTCCTGGAAGAGATAATTGCAGTTTTAAATCCAGCCATTATTATTCCGTACGGGCTTTTTGAATAAAAATGTTTGCTGCTCCTCTGAGCCCTCTGACTATAGTATAAGTGTGCCATCCTGGGGAGGTAAGAGGGCCAGGAGTCTCTCCTCTTTCAAGGAACTCAGGGCCCCAGTGAGGAAGGGCCTACTGTGTGCCGGCCCTTTCGGTGAAGCTGTGTCATGCAGTCCCTAGGGAGACAGGGCCGGAGGTGACACAAGCCCATGTACGGATGAGAAGACTGAGCTTGGAGACGGGAGTGCTTCCCCTCTGATTTTTCCAAGAAAATCAGCTCAAAACACTCAGGATAATTAGGATTATAAAATGGTTATAAAATTAATGAAAGTGGAGGTCAGCAAACTTTCTCTGTAAAGACCAGGTGGCCTGTATTTTTGGCACTTAGGGTCCCTGTTTCCCACCCCACTGTGCTTCTGTAGGATGAAAGCAGCCACCCACAGCATGCAAACAAACCGGAGGGGAATTGTGTTAGTCAGGGTTCTCTGGAGAAACAGGAACCATAGGATGTGTACATAGAGAGGAGGAGATTTAATATAAGGAATTGGATCGTGTGAATACGGAGGCTGGCGAGTTCAAAATTTCCTCTCACCTCCCTCCTGCCCACCAGCCAGGCTTTCCCCATGGGGCCTTCCACGCACCTGGGGTAGTGGCTGCAGAAAGGCTCCACAAACCTGCAAGCACCGAGGCCTTCTCTTTGGGAGGCCCCCCGCCCACCCGGGCCCCTCCTCAGGGAAGCTGTGCAAGCCCTCTGCTGGGGTCTGTGCTCACCAAGTGTCCTTGCTTCCCACTTCTCACACTGATGACGCCCAAGTGCCTTTTCTCCTCAGCTCATCCCAAATCGGAGATGATGCGCAGGCAGGATTATCTCAGGTGCACGACTTCCAAGAAAATCCCCCCAAAGGTGAAAATGCTCCCCACAGGACCCATCTGACATTACTCAATGATTTGTTTATCCTACAAGCCTGCAGTGGATATGGGATCCTGCAGAGGAAGGATATGGGATCACTCGGGAACATCTCAGGGCTGACGTGTCTCTATCAGAGTCACCTTTTAACCCAGAGAGATCTGGCCAGAAGCCTGACGCTCCCATTTATATGCCAGATGAACTCGGACCAGCAGTTTCTCCTCTCTCAGCCTCAGTCTTGTCCTCTGTACAACGGGTTTAAAGGTACTCACCTCAGGGCTGTAGGAAGGATTAGAACAATATGGGTAAAGTGGTGACTCACAGCCTGGCACCTAGTAACCTCTTGAGACATGGTGGCTGTTACTGGATCGATGTGACCATGAGTAAGGAGCACACAGCCCTGCCCAGCACACTGCAGGCTCTCCATGCATGGCAGTTAATTCATTCAATGACTTTTCTTTGAGTTTCCCTAGGTTCCAGGCTCTCTATTATCACCCTTTTTTGCCCTTTTCTTTTCCCATCTCCTGTAGCCCAAGTCAGATGGAATGGAGTCTTCATTTGCTATTTAAAGCACCTACTATGTGCCAGGTACTATGCCAGATGCCCCATACATAACCTCTAATTTAATTGCTACACCAAGCCTGTGCAGCATTATTAGTGGCCCCATTTTATCACTGAGAAAACTGGGACCGAGCAAAATTAAGTAATTCCCCGAAACGGGTGATTAGCAGTGGGCTGGGATCTGAATCCACCTTACTAACCACTTGGTGGTCCTGCTTCTGGCTCAGGAAGGAGCAGAGGCTCACCTCTCCTTTCTTACCAACCATACCTTCCTACCCTGTGATGCTTCTCCAGGTTGGAAGAGTAGGCAATTCATGGATTTTAAACTCAAGAAGAGCTTCAGCACTGGACATGGGGGTAGCTGCCGGGTGGGGACAGTGGTGATGAGACTCCATGACTGTTGCCATACTGGAATGCCGGCCTGATGTCTCCAGGACTTTTTTAAAAAAAGACAAGTTGGAAATTGAGAGTTGTTAAGTGTAGAACTCCCAATTTAAAAATGTTGACAACAAATTAAAGAAAAAGAAAACCCCATGCAAGTCAAAACACCCAGGGCCCACCTGCTGAGTCCCTTCTGCAGGTGGCCAGCTTGATCCCTGTCCCACCCACCTCCCCACCATCGCTCCATCAGAAGAGCATCCCGGGCGGCTGTCTGCTCAAAGTCCCTCCTGTCAGTTCTCCTTCCTGGGAAACCCACTGAGGCCTAGAGAGCCTGGTGTGGAATCTGGACAGGGGGCAGTCAGGGTGGGAGGGGCTCTGTGGGAAGACAGTGACTCAGTGGCCCAGCTCCTCCTAGAGGCAAGGAACCCGCAGCTCATGGTCACTGCCTTTAGCAAATCAGGAAGGAAGTAACCGCCTCAGGAATGACACCCTCTCCCTCTGCCCGCAGTGCCTCCCCTCCTTCTGTGTCTCCCCCTTTGTCTCTCTCCTCTCTGCCTCTTCACGTTAGTCTCGCTCCCTCTCCCTCGGCTCCCTCGCTGTCTCTGGACTGTCTGGTGGTCTCCCCTCTCCCTCTTCCCCTGCCTCTTATCCACTGTTCCCCTGGCCCGGCCCCCTCCCTCAGAGCTCCCTTTCCTGTCTGCCCTCTTCTCCTGCCTCTTCCTCCACCCACCCCTCTCTGCAGTTTTCTGAACATTTGCTGAATTCCCTTTAGCAGGTGTGGGTTTTAGGCCACCTGCAGCCCCTTGAGGTTTCTCTGGGGGCATGAAGGTGTGACCCAGAAAAATTCCAAGGAGGCTTCTGTTCTCATTCGAGCCTGGGGGAACCATTCATTCATTCATCAACCACTCAAACATCCTTAGTCTTCTTTCACATTAGAAAGACATGGGGGCTCTACTTTGGCCTTAGAAGGTAATACTATTTGGCCACTGCCCACCTCTCTGCTTTTTTTACCCCACCCCCCTTCCCTTGTCATCCTCAAATATCCCACACACTCTTACCTTAAAGCCTTTGCACTTATGAAGTTCCCCTGGGAGAGGACTCAGAAAATACGAGGCATTTATGTGGTAGAGCCAGCACAGGTGACTATGGGAGCTCAAAGGAGGGGCCTAATCCAGGTGGACTCCCTGAAGGAGGCAACTGAGGCTGAATTTTGAAGAACAAATAAGAGTTAGTCAGGTTAGAGGGAGAAGAGAGTGGGTGGGAAGGCTGGGAGAGGTATTCCACACAGACGGAACTCCCCGTGTAGAGGCATGGGAGGCAGGATACCTGGGGCTTCGTTGTGGATCAGGCCTGTGTCAGACAGCACACACCCAGGCTGGGTGCTGTCTATTTGCTGAGACATCTTGGGCAGATGACAGGATCTCTCTGTGCCTCCATTTCCTCCTCTATAGAATGGGGAGAATATTAGAAGGGTCTTGTGGGGTTGTTATGAGGACCCCAACATTAAGACATGGATGGGCTCAGCACAGAGCCTGGTGCACAGTGGGCACCTAGTCGATGTCAGCTGCCCCCAGTAAGAAAGCCCTTGAGTGCCTTGCTAAGGGGCTGGCGTCCTCTTAGAGGCATGGAGAGGGCATGCTGGTGAGGGATGCAGTCAGACTGGCATTTCAGGAGAGTCCTCTGGCTGCTGTGAGGAGAGTGTCTCAGAGGCAAGATTGGAGGCTGCTCTGGAGCCAGGAGGAGGCTGATGTGGACCCCTGGAGGGAGAAGCTGGAGGCTGGGCAGGAGCGGGGTGGGCGGGGCCTGGGCAAGTACATTGTGTCTAAGAAGGTGGGGTGGAGAGCCAGACTGGCTGAGCACAAATCCCAGTTTTGCTACTTACTATCTCTAGGGTCTTGGCAGGTGTTGTAACTCAGTTTCCTCATCTGTGAAGTAGGCATGACAACAGTATCCACCCTATGGAGTTGCTTATGAATATAAATGAGTTCATTCATGAGAATTGCTCAGAACACCACAAGTACTTAATAACCATCAGATCAGCTAGAATTATTATTATTAAATATAAAGCTAATGGCTGAAAGGAAGGGATGCTAGCCAGTATTTTGGCATAGGACAAAGAGATCTCAAATGGGCCCTCCTACCTTGGGAGCCAAGCTGGGCAGGAAGCCTCTGACCAGAAATTAGCTCCCCCTCCGCAGGGGGATGATTTCACTGCTAATCTTGTAACAGGTGGGCCCAGCCATCACTGATACCAGAGAAAACATGAGCTGCCTGCTATGACTCTGCACGTAAATGGCACCGCTTACTCACCTGGAACCCAAATCCGCTCAGCGGCTGATGGAGCATGACAGAAACTCAAGGGAGCAGAGAGGCGTGGGATGGACATGGGTCCACTTCCCTGCTTAGGGCAGCAGACCTTTGCCCAGCCTCAAGAGAGACCTGAGTTCTCACCTTTAATCACTGTGTCACTTCAGATTTACCACGCCTCTCTGAGCACCAGTTTTCTCATCTACAAAGTGGAGATAAAGATGCCCACCTCTCACAGCTGTCTTGTGGACTGAGAACAATATACAAGTCACAGGACCTATGAATAGGGCCCTCTGGGCTCAGAGGGGTCAGCTGTTAATGAACCAAAGTTGTTCTAGAAATTGTGGTCGTTAAGGGCACAAGTGCAGGAAGTCAAACAGAACAGCCTTGTGCCCCAGCTTCATAGCTCACTGTAGGTCATGGGCAATTCACTGAACTGGCAGTGCCCCCCCTCACTCCAGAGGAATAAGTGATGTGATTGGGCTTAGGGGGCTTAGTTCGAGGCCTGAAGCACAGTAGGGCTCCATAAGTGGTGGCTGGGATCACTGTTAGGCAGACTGGTGGGGGACCTGCCCTGTGCGGTGAGGAGGAAGACCCGGCTCTGGGCTACAGCGTGGGGACCGTGGGTGGAATCTTCTTAGCTCCCTGGAGACCTGAGCAAACAGGGCACTTTGTAGGCACAGGGAGCTTGGAGGAGGGAAAGAGGATGGCCATCCCTGTGAATAGAATTAGAGGTGTTAGGCTACAAAGACCCAGCTAGGAAGAGCATGGAGCATCCTGCCGAGGTGGGTATCTCAGGGGAACTTCCCCTTTCCAGTTGGGAGAACTGGACAAATGCACCCCCATTTGAATGGCTTTGAGTCTAGATATTTGGCTTATAAGGAGTTAATTATGAAAGGGACAGCTTTTAGCAGACTGTGAAGCATTAATTCATCTGCCTAGCATTAATGAGTGGGCTGGCCTACTATGGGCTGGCCAGCACTGCAGGTGCCAGGATACACAGGGACCATGACAGTTAGCATCTATGCCCTTGAGGAGCTAACATTCTAAAGGGGAGGTGATAACAAGCAACAGTAACAAACAAACATCAAAATAATGAGCTGGTGAGTGCTCTGATGCAAACAAAGCAGGGCGATGTGAGAGAGACCCAGGAAGCTGCATTAAGACAAGGGACAGCAAATGTCTCCCTTGCGATATGACATTTAATTCATTTAGTTACAAGAAGAAGCAAGCCATGTGAAAATCTGAGATCAGAGTATTGCAGACAAAGGAACAGAAAGTGCAAAGGCCCTGAGGTAGGAGCAAGCTTGGCATGTTTAAGGAACACAAAGAGAGTATCTTGGAGATGAAAACAAGACACAGCTCCTGCCTTTATGGAACCAAAGTCTGAAGATGGACGTAGTTAATTACCAAATAGTGGAATATTTTAATGAAGGCACAAGTTTCTGGGATAATACAAAGGAGAACCATCCAATCCATCCTAGGAGATCAGGGAAAGCTGCATGGAGGAAGTGATATCTAATCTAGGACCTAAATGACAGATAACAGAAGAAGAGAGGTAGGGTTTTCCAGGTAGATGGAACAGTTTCCAGGTAGATGTGCAAAGGCCCAGAGGTGGGGTGGGGCCTGATGTATTCTCTAGGGGAATTGCAAGTAGCTGGATGTGGTTCGAACCCAGAGCTGAAGTATATATGGATGTAATTGAGGGTGTCCCTGTCACTTAGGAGAAAGGCCAGGCTTGACCCAGCCCAATGGATCTGATCACAGAATTGATATGCTGAGAAGGGCATGACAAGGTGGGCAGGAGAGATCAGAGGAGGACAGAGGCAGGGGAGCTGGCATGGTGATGGAGGCAGGGGAGGTGGAGCTCTGGCAGGGGTACATGAAAGTGCTGGGGTGGAAAGGCAAGTTACAGAGAACTCACAAAGCAGAAAGGACTCTAGGGACAACATAGGGAGCTGGGCCCAAAAGGTGGTGATGGAAGCTCCAGAGAACTCAGAAAAGCAGAGAGCCAAGGGTCTTCTGGCATGGTGGGTAGTCAAAGTGGGTGGGTTTTGAAGTCTGAAAGACCAAGACCAAGTCCTGGCTTGTCCATTGCCAAGCTGTCTGGGCAGTCACTTCCCCTCTCTGAGCCTCAACTTCCCCATCCCATATCCAATGAAAATAGCACAACCCACCTTCAGTGCTGTCGTGCAAATTAAATGTGAACACGGAGGGAAGTTTCTAGCAGCCAGCAGGCACTCAGAGCATGGTAATTCCCTCCGTTGACCTTTGGCCTTGGGCCCCCACTGAGCCACTCTGGGTCTCTCTTTTTTTTGCCTAGAGCATGGGAATGAGGGTGCTTGCCCTGCAGTGCTGCCCACAGGAACTGGCGGGATGACTTGGGAGGCTTAGGGCACCGCCCACAGAGCAGGCGATTATAGACTCATCCTCCTCCTTTCTCCCTCCCCAGCAGGAAAGCTGAGACAGAATGGCGTGGCAGGGGCTGCTGCTGGCCGCTGGCCTCCTTGTGCTTCCCTCTGCTGCAGCGGACTGTGTGTCCCAGTGCGCCCTGTGTGCTGTGAAGACCCAGCATGGGCCCAAACCCATCGACCCGCTGGTAGGCTTCAGGCAAGGCTCCTGGCTGCCCAAGTCCTGGGGCCAGTATGTGGAAGGGAACTTCTGTGTGTGGAACCCAGAGAGGGGAGGTAGCAGGCCTGGACAGCTGTGCCCCTGCCCTATAGACTCATTTCACCTACACGGGGTGTGTCCTGCCCTGTGGTCAGCCTGGGAACCGGGGGCCCCTGTTTTCCATCTCCCAACTCCCATCCCCACCCACATCTCACCACCGTGGGCTCACTCACGGCTGGGACAGACCACTGAGGTTGCCAGGGAGCCTGTTGCCTGGCAACCAGACTGTCATTCATGAGGTGATACTGACTTTGGGAGTCAGCTTTCAGGGCTTCCTTCCACCAGGCTGATGGTCCAAATCTAGTCACGTCCATGGAAGGAGCTCTTTCCACCACCCCTAAGTGTCAGGGTCCAGTTGACAGGATTCAAGCCTTTTCTCCTCCTCTGGGTCTTAGCATGTCTTGGCCCAGCCTTGCTGTCTTTGCTTTGAATGATAGCAGCTAAGCTGGCGTAGAGGTACTAGGGGTGGCGGGGACAGAACACAGGCTTTAGTCTGCCATTTTCTGGTTCCATGACCCTGGAACCCCTTCTCTGAGCCTCAGTTTCCATCACAAAATAGGAGTGATTCTATAAGATAATGATGCAAAGTATGAAATATATGATCGCAGCCACTCTTTACCGAGATGCACACAGTGGGCCAGGTGCTACCTATACATGATCTCAGGGGAGCACAGTGGTTAGGCATGAGGACTCATGGCATTGGACTGCCTGGATCCAAGTTCCAGAACTATTCAGTGTTCCCACTGTCGCCATTACTATGGTTATTGTTATCGTTATCATCGTGAGCAACGTGCTCGAATTAAAGTGGGCAGCCCAGGGCTTAGTAACAGCAGCTACTTTAGATTTCCCCGATGTTGGGCAGGGTCTCTCTGGGGCAGGGGATTGCATGTGGCTTGATGGGGGTGAGGTTATCACTGTGGGCTTTTTGGGTCTTTTGCAGATTTGCTCCCTGGAATGCCAGGCCACTCTGCTACCTGCTGAGGAGTGGGAGAGATGCCAGGGACTTCTGTCTTTTTCTGCCCCCTTTACCCTTGGGCTCAATGGCAAGGAAGACTTGGAAGAGCCCTATAGCGAGCTGGCCAAGCGCTCTGGTCCCTTCTTGAAGGAGCTTGAGAAAAACAGACTCCTTCTTAGCACCCCAGCAGAGGAGAATGCTCTGAGCAGGTGCCTGGCAGAGAAGCTCAGGGGTCTCTCTGGTAGGTTGGGGGAGGGAGCAGAGTCTGAGCTGATGGGCGCCCCCCAGCCGAAAGCTGGTGCCATGGATGTTGGGGCCCTGGATTCCGAGGAGGAGGACCCCAAGGAGCAGGTCAAACGCTATGGGGGCTTCTTGCGCAAGTACCCCAAGAGGAGCTCAGAGGTGGCTGGGGAGGGGGAGGGGGATCAGGAGGGCCACGAGGACCTGTACAAACGCTATGGGGGCTTCCTGAGGCGCATCCGTCCCAAGCTCAAGTGGGACAACCAGAAGCGTTATGGCGGTTTTCTCCGGCGCCAGTTCAAGGTGGTAACTCGGTCTCAGGAAGACCCCAATGCCTACTCTGGAGAGCTTCTTGATGTGTAACCGCCCCTCCAACATGGAGTTGAGTCAAGAGCTCCCCCTGACACCCTTCCATGTTGGAGTGTCCCCATTCATCCTCCCTTATGTCCCCTGTTCCCACGCCCAGTTCAGCCTTGTCTAAAATATATCCAAACCTAGCCTGACTTTTCTCTTCTGCCTGGGGTGCAGTGTCTGGGGCCAGTGAGGGGGAGGGATGGAGGTTCACCCCTCCAATAGGTTTAGTGTTGCCTCAGATCTTAGAGCTCTAGAACTAGTGCCAGCAGCAGCTTTTGACATCACTCCCTTCACCCCTTTCATGTGACTCCCCAGTTCCAGGAATCCAGACTGGCTTGTTCTTCCTCACGCTACCTCTATGATCACCAAACTTTATTGATCACATGCCCCTTGAAGAAGAAAAACAAGCAGAGCCCCTCCCATGCAGATATATTCATTTAGCTAGCATATACATATAATAAAAACATACAGATGGTAGAAATTTAAAACAAGATCAATAAACAAAAAGGAATCCCAACATTTATTCCCAAACCTCAAAGGATCTCCTGTGCACCCCACTTTGGACACCATGCTTTAGATAAAATGCTCAAAAACACTGCCTATTATTGGAGTAGAAATTCCTACAGAAGAGAGTTCAGTCTTCTGGAGATTAAATGTTCAATTGGTGTACTCTGAGTTCTTTTTGTTTAGGAACACACCTTTTGAAGAACTAAGTTCCTGGACCCCAGTCCATGTTACCCTGGGCAGCGCCCAAGTCCTCAAAGGAGAGGAAGGGGGTAAAGCCCTTTTCCTAAGTGGTTAATGAGAGCAGTTCTCCCTCTGAATGCTAAAATGATTGAGGGAACGAGGCAAACCAATTTGTTCTGTGCAACAAACTCAAAATCTGGACCAGTTCCCTCAGCCCTCATTAAACTAATTAAACTGATCAGTATTACGCTCCTACCCCAGGATGAACTGAAGCTGAGTCAAGTTGATGAGGTTAAGCACAACCATGTTCTTGAGCAGCTGAGTCGGCCGCCAGAAGTCCAAGCCATCTGGCCAAACATATGCCCTGGGCACTGGGTGAGGGAATCCAGAAGCAACAGCTAGAAAGAGAAAAAGACCCTTTTCAGCCCCCTGATGATTCTTTCCTTTTAATGTCTCAAAATAAAACCAGAAAGGGGAATGAAATGATTGAGTGCTTGAGGCCAGATGAGTTCCCTTGATTCCAATAACCCAGAATCAGAGGCAGAGACCTCCCAATGCCTTGGGTTCAATCAGGTTTGCTCTGTCTCTCCCTGCTCTCTTGCTCACTCACCCCCAGGCACTATGGTTTTGTTTGTGGGTCCAGGAGGCTGGATAGGAGAAGAAATAGACATGAGTTTTCGTAGAAAACACCACTGAACACACCTCTTTATGCCCAAGCCCCACGTCTCTCAAAATGTCCTGAAATGTATAGGTTGTTTTAGGGTTACTTTGTGTGCTTTAAAAAAAAAACCCGTTTATGCAATTTACTTGGAATTCGCTTAGTCCTCAACAGGCCTGTGTTATTTCCTACTCTTCTAGTACAATAAATTAAAAACAAAATGTGGATGACCTGGGGTGTGTGTCTATGAGCGCCACAGTCCGCAGACAGTGAAGAGACCATTTGCAGAAAAGGGTGCTGGGGAATGAGAAATACACAAACACACACACATTCATGTTAGAAAACAAAATGTAGGAGAATGGAACAAAGACTTTAGAGTGCCACATTTGAGATCTGTGTGACCTTGGGCAAGTCATTTGATCTCCTTGAGCCTTAGTCTTACCCTCTGTAAAATAAAGACTAATAGTGCCAACTTTGTAAGGTGGATGTGAGGATTAGATGCAATCATAGGCACGAAGCTCCTGATACATAGTATGTGCTCAGTAAATGAGGGTTTCCTTTCCTATGTTGTCTCAAGGGACAGTGGCAAAGCTCAAGCATCCAGCAACCCAGTGGGGAGAGCAGGGAGGGTTCTGCAGAGGAAGGCTGAGCCCTGCCTAACTCCCAGGGGCTGTCTCCTATGCTGGGTGACCCGGTGGGAAGCAGAAATGTTCCTAGACAAAGGTGAATGTGATAGGGATGAAGAACACTAGAGAATAGGTGATAGAACGTCCTTTGCTGAAATGACATCCTTCACTAAATGACACTGATGAGATGTCTTTAAAGGAGACTGCGGCACCAGACCCCATGGCTTCCATTTGGCCACGGGCTTTCCGAATGATTTCATAGAAAACACAGGGTCAGGGAGGTTTCAGTCATTCCTTCATTTGTTCAACAAAGTATTCATTGAAGGCCTACTAGGTGGTAGAACTTTTGCTAGGTGCTGGAAGTACAGGAAAATAAAATGCCTAGGGTCTCAGGTCTTGTGGAACTTGCAGTCTAGTGGGGGAGATAAATAAACAAGGAAACCAAAATATAAATCTAAAATTAAAAATAAAAATTTAAATGAATTAAAAATGTTAAATTTTAATGAAATCTAAAATAGTGGTAACTGTTGGGAAGGAAACAATTGGGACTTAGCAATAGTAGGGGTAGTGGAGGAATCTTCCTAAGGTATTCAGGAAATCCTTCTTGAGGAATATTCCATTCTTGGCTCAGAGAGTCAGCAAGTTGAAAGGCACCTAAGGTGGGGATTATTTCCTCCAACCCTTTAACCTGTGTCAAACTTGACATACTGATAATAAATTTTAATCTGTTGAACACTTTTGTTGACTTGGATTTCACAACATATTGCTGCTCCTTAAGGATTCAAGGTTGGAAGTTTCCATTTTTATGATGGGTTGAAATTTAGGTTTCTGTTACTTTTATGCATTGGGTCCTAATGCTGCTTGTCTATTGTCCCAGGAGCTTCTCTAGGAAAGACTATTTGGTTACTTGCAAACAAATGGCTCAAAACTCTCTCAATTAAGGTAAAGAAATAAACAACAAACCAAATAATTTGTTAGCGCACATAAGTGAAAAATACAATATAGTTAGCTTCATCTAAAGCTTGATCAAGGGGCTCAATAACACCAAGACCTCTCTGCCATCAGGCTCTTTTCTCCTCTGTGTTGAATTCATTCTAAGACTCCACATGCTTTTAAGATGCCTGGCAGCAGCTCCAGGTTCTACTCTGCAGATGCAAGTATAACATGCTATTTTCATAGCAAATCCCAATAGACTTTCATTGTCACTCATTGGCTATGATGGGATCAGTGTCTGATCCTGCACTAATGCCTATGTGATGCTCTGGTCAGGACTGAACCACATGGAACCAGGGATGGAGTCAACCCAACTCAATGTAGCTGGACTAGGAATGGGAAGCGGGGTGGTTTTTGAGAGGAAAATTGGAGTGTGGTTCCCAGGAGGAGAACAAATGAATGCCGGCTGCCGCCAAATAGTAGGTAGTCACTCCCCCAATGAGTGCAGGTGGCCAGGTGGGAGCTGGGTAAACTGGCATGTGTGTGCCATGGGGAGCGTAGGCCCAGAGTAGCCAGGATCGATGGTCAAGAGACCTCGGAAATCTGGATTTGCATTTTTTCCCATGTAGGCAAGTAAATTTTTAAAAAGTACTGAACGGGGCAAGCAATAACATGTTTGGGATGAGATACATCCCTTTCTCACCAGTATTTGGTGACTTCTTTCTAAATCTTTTTATTTTTAATGAGAAACACTTCTTTTTTGGTTTTTACATTTTCCCCATATGCTATCCATTCCAGGTGGTGTTGCCCTGGACTCCCTTTTCTGGGCCCATTTCACTGGGTGAAGGAGGCATGCCCCTATAGGAAGGAAGGAGTATGGCTAGGGGTCCCAGAGACCTACGCGGATCCCGCTCCTCTGGGTGGTTCTGGGCAAGACAGTGCACTACACGGAGCCTCAGTTTCCAATCTGTCAAATGGGGAGAAAAACACCGACTTACTAGATGGAAGCAAAGGTTCGGTGATTTAAAGTCTATGATGCACGTGACACCGTGTGAGAGGTGGATGACACAAATTGCTGCCTGTCCTCAAGGGCGGTGCCTCTCCCTGTGCTTCTCCACATGTCAGCTGAGTGAGTCACATGCCTACTGAAAGGACAAAATTTTCCTAGTGGCAAGAAAAGGGTGAAATATAAATTTTTGTTTGTTTATTGAGCCATAACATATCTGCTTGCAGAGTGCACTTAATCCTAAGCGTGCAGCTCAATGGATTTCTACATATGTATATACCCATGTGACCACCACTCAGATCACAATATAGAACATTTTCAGCAACCCCAGAGGGGCGATCATTTTTTTATGAGCTGTTTGTGGGGATGGAGAGCAAGCCAGAGGAAGAATTGGAATAAAAACATCACAGACCTTGTGGAATACTGATTCTTTGTCCATGTCACAAAGGCCACTGTGCAGCAATCACAGAGCAGGCGTTGGTGAGGGGATGCCAACATCCCGGTAACCTTAAAAGAGCGTGTTACTAATAAGCACGCGGTTTCCACGACAACGCTGTGCACCATTGCCAGCGAGGAAACTCTTGTTATAATGATCATGACAATCATAATGATCCCTCAGATGTGGATCACCCCTCCCCCACCCCCAATTCCAAGTCCTTCACACAAACGAGCCCAGCAATGGGGCTCGTCTATTAATTAAAGGCCCCAAAGTGAAGGCAACATGTCCCCATGACAGTGCCAGGAACAATGGTTCCCTAATACACGTCATTTGGGGCATTCTTGATTCATGTGCGGGTCCTCGTGGCCTCGCATTATAGCTGTGGAGATTAATAACAAAGATTGATAATTACTCTTCTAATATGTAAATTTGCACATAAGTTGTGCCCCCATCCTGTCTTGTCTTCATCTAACTTAAGCCAAGCCCCATTATCTTTGTTTCCAGGCGTTGCTGTATCCTTGATTGCCTTTGACATGAAGTTTGCCGTTGGAAAAATGCTGACCTGTCTCCCTCTTAACTCGCCTTTTCACTGGTGTAGCTCTGAAAGGACCTGCCCTCGTGTTTGTGAAATACGGGAGGGCTTTCCTGCCACTGTGAAGAGCCGTGTGGTGTTTGGGCCTGGAGATGGAGCACTGGACTGAGAGTCCAGGGACTGGGGACTTGAGTGTGGTCTGCGTTCTGCTAGCTGGCCATGGATGGTGGGCTTTGCATTCTGGATACAAATTTCTCTTCTGTAAAATGACATGGATAATATTGTAAGGGCCTTTGTCCTTTCAAGAGCTGACATGTTATACCTGCCCTGCCTCAGTCATTGAGTCCCTAAGTGATGAATAAAGCAAATGACCTCTGGTTTCCTCATCTGAAAGTGAGGGTGATGAGTTTATTCTGGCAGGTGGTGGAGGTCACATGAGAAACATAGGGACACTGTCTGGTTCAAAATTGTGTTATCAGGACTAATGCCCTCCCCACCCAAATCCATCTGATCTCTTGATGATCGCCTACTAAGCACCTGGTGGGTGTCCTGCACTGGGATGGGGGCAGGGGATTCAATGGTGATCAGGCAGAGAGTCCCTCCTTCATGAGTCTCACTCCCTACTAGGGAAGACCAGTCACCTATCAATGAGCAAATGGGTCAGTTCCCAGCGGTTCTGAGCACTGTGAGGAGAATAAAAGGATGCTGGCGTGAGTGATGGCAGGTGGGAGGTGGTGCTCAGAGGAGTCCCACAGGCCTCTCTGAGGGGTGGACACTTGGCCAGAGGTGTGTAGGAGGGGCACTTGCGGGTGTCTGTGCAGAGTCGCGAGAGAGCATCCCTGGCAGAGGAGCAGCAAGTGTGAAGCCCAGAGTGGGGTTGGCGGCTGTTGGTGTAAAGGAGAGCAGGGAAGCCAGGGAGGGGCGTGGCAGAGGTAGGACAGGCTGCAGAAGCAGACCCTGGCCCATGGGCACCATTACCCCGTGGGATGACAGGAGCCCCTTTTACTGTCAAAGTGCCCTGGTTTGGACAGTGCATGAGATTTTTGCTCAATCTATGGGCCATGAGAAAGACCTTGACTTTTGGTGTGGGTGAGGTGAGGGCACTGGAGGGCTTTAAGTGCAGGAGGGACATCTTCTGACATGGATTTAGAGGGATTAGGCTGGCTGCTGTGTGCAGAGCAGGCCGCAGGGAGCGTGGGGGGACCTTCTGTAGTCCTGTTAGCAGACTGCGCTCTCCAAAGTGAATGTGAGAGATGCAGGGTACCAGGAATGGCAAGGGAGCCTTTCTTTCTTGGGATCAAGGCTCCAGGCACAGTGTTCTCTCTTTAACAGGCACCAATGGCATCAGGACCACGGTCAGGCACAGGCAGGCCCTCAGAATGCCACCAGAGGTGGTGTGTGGATTGTACTCAAGAAATCAGTCTGCAGAAGCCAGCTGGCAGCAACCTTCACCCCCACTGCCCCATCTCAGCCTTGAAAAATGTAGCCTTGGTGATCTGAGCTTTAAGTTTCCAGGGAGAAAAGTCCCTAAATTGGGACTTGCTTTATGGAAAAGATGCATCATTGGAAAGTGTATAAATCAAATGTTTGCAAATGAAATTACATTGTAATGCTCTGGGGAATATTGCTATTCAATTTTCTTATTGATTTTACAGATCACAACAAGTGTCTCTTGCTCATTTAGAATCATTTGAAAAATTCAAGAAAGCATCAAGAAGGCTCGTGTGCAATGAACCAACAATCAGAGTTCAGATGTCAAAGGCTTACTGAGCCCCTGCCCTGGGCCAAGGCACAGTGGCGATCCGAACATGCACAACCGTTGCCTTCAAGGAATTTACAGTTCATCAAGGATGGCCTGGTAGAGCAAGTAGCTGTGAAAAATAAAGAAGCACTAACTTCATTACTTTGGGGAGTAATGTGTAACGAAGGCCTGATGGAGGCACTGAGGAGGCCACCTGAAGAGGAGATTTTGAAGCTGAGGTCTGAAGGAGGGGCAGGAGTTAGAGGGGTGGGAGGTTAGGAAGACTGGGGGTAAGCGCAGGGAGGGTTTTCAGTAGAGGACCAGCATGGGCAGAGGTCAGAGGTGGAAGGAGCATTGTCTGCATGAGAGTCTAGAGGAAGCCAGGGTAGCCACACAGGGACATGAAGAGGGAGCTTGATCACACTAGACCTGCAGGCTGTGTTGTGATGACTTTATTTCAAGAACAAGGAAAGCAAGTGTAAGATTTCAAGCAAAGAAGTGGCACGGTCAGATGTGCCAAATCAGAGTTTTCTGGAACAAGGTGAGGCATAAATATTTATGTAAACTTATAATAAAAAACCCAAGTACCACTTTTGATCCCACCTCTTGGAGGTAGTTGCAATGAATGAACATAAGTCTTAAGCAGTTTTTACACTTTTTTCATAAGTATTATGTGTAAACTTACATAATCATAGTAGTTCACAAATTGGGTATAACCATAATTGACTCAAACATTTCCCAGTGTTTGGGGACTGAACATCCCTTTTGCTGGGGACATTCCTGAGGTTGTGCCTTTGTTCTAGCGTCACTATTAATAGCACCTCTTTCACTTTTAAGAGTACTGAATGAAAAAGCATACCAACACCCTTCCTATAGGATAAGCATTTGAGTTGCTCATTATATTATTGATATTATCATTTTATAAAAATACATTCATTTGTGATGAACATATTTTAGTCAATCAGCTTAAACAAACCACATAGTCGCAAGCAGTCCTTGCTTTAAAAATGACCCTCAGAATTCATCTCATTGCGTTGCTCAGACTTCAGACATCCACATGCCACCTGCCCAGACACATTACCGACACTATCCTGGACTTAACGTTTTTCTTGAACTTGCCTCACATTTTTTAAAACTTCTATGAATGAGGTGATTAAGAAGGAAACTTTAAGTTACTCCGATGAGTGAAAAGCCAGTATTATATTCTATTCATAGAAGTGGCATAACAATGAATTCAAGGAACATTATTATGAGGGACTAGCTCTGGCCGAAGCCTGCTAGAGGCAGGAGAAAAGGAAGATCTGCAAGCCTCAGGGGGCTGTCGTGGCACCAGACAGAGCCTTTCTCTTCAATAAAATCAGAAGGTTTCAAAAAGCACAAACTTTCTCTCCCTGGGGTTTTGGGGGGGTGAAGCTGCAGAACTGTATTTGTTGAGGGCTGAAGTAACCTCAGCTCACGGCTTTGTGTGTGGTAATGAGTTTGGAATTTACTCCAGGGGTGAGAGTGGCAGGGTTATAACCTGTTTCCATGCACTGGAAGCCGCTCTGTACCACGCCCTGCGCTGTCTGCCGACAGACTCACTGAGTCACTCTTCACTCACCACGGAGATTCAGGCCCGCTTCTTGTTCTCCTGGAGTACACGGTCTAGAGGATGAGACAGTGATAAACAAATCAAACTCCATTTTAACTTGATGTAAGTTAAATTCTATAAGAACTTTAAAAAAAAAATAGACTTTGTTGTTTAGGTCTACTGAAAAATTGAATGGAAGTACAGAGTTCCCATATACCCCTGCCCCCACCCCCACAGTATATACAGTGTCCCCTATTATTGTCATCTTGCATCAGCATGATGCATTTGCTATAATTGATGAGCCAATATTGGTACATTATTTGGGTTCCCTCTTTGTGCCGCACACACCATGAAGCCAGTGTGAATAGAGGAAGCAGAGAGCTCTGCGGGCTCCCAGGCCACAGTTAGCATCAGATTTTATGGCCAGTGCCCAGGGAAGTCATTTGGGCTCCAAGCAGGGAGCGAAGAGGCGGAGACCTGCAAGATATTTGTGAGCATCTCTGGGATCTCCCAGCGTCCGCATGAGCTCAGAACACAGTCACAACTTGCAGATCAGGAAACTAAAGCGCAGTGCACAAGAAGGCTCACAGTCTCTGTCTACCTCACCTTCTGGGATGTTGTAGCACAGAGCATGGAAAAAGAGAGATGCAGAATCCAAAAGGAAGCCTCTGAATATCTATGTGAGTTGCAGCCTAGCAGGCAGCAAGGGTAAGAAACAGCTTTTAGAATTCAATTAGGCTGTAAGGAGACTAGTGAAGAAAGCTGGTTTGACCTCCTGGGCAGAGGGTGGGCAGGGAGCAAGAGGGGGAGGTGGTAGTTTTAGATCAGACAGGAGAATTAGGTAATGGGTATGGCCAGAATCTAATTGCCCATGAGACCAATCTCTTTAGAGGAAATGGAGTCCCTTATTGTCATGGCAACCAGTTAAAAGAGCTCAGCATGTCTATCAGCAGCTGGAGGAACAGCCCTGGATGCTGAGTATCATGTCCCAGCAAGAATCTCTGGTCCACAGTATGTCAGGATTCAGTTCATCCAAGCCCCGCAACATTGATGGCTTTAAAAAGATCAGTTTCTTCCTCATGAAGAAGCCAGAGGTGGGCAGCCTAAGGCTGTGCTCCATTTAGCTTTTGTTGCATAAACAAACTGCCCTGAAACAGTGGCTGAAAACGATGACAGTTTATGTCTTCTATTCTATGTGGTGCTGGAGCGCCCTCCCTTTGATCTGCTCGTGGGCTCCCCCAGCAGCTGCGGTCGGCTGGGAGGTTGCCTCACTCTGTGCCTGGCGGCTGGTGCCCCTGGCTGGGACCCTCATCCTGGGACTGGTTCCCCCACCTGGGGTCTGGGGTCAGCACGCCAAGAGGGCAAATGTATAACCGCATGGCCCCTAATAGCCTAGCCTCAGAAGTCTCCCAATGCCAATTCTGTCCAACATGGCTGACCAGAACAAGTCACAAGAACAGTCCAGATTCAGGGGAGGGAAACAGACTTCAGCTCTTGATAGGAAGAGGGCAAAGTCACATTGCCAAGGGGCTTTGGGATGGGAGAGATCATTCCAAACAATCTATCAGTGGCTGAAATGAATGTTCTGCTCCATGGAGTCATCCGAATCCTAGGATCCTTCCAGCTCACCACTCCACCACTCCAAGAGTAGGGCCCTGATCCTCCAGGTTCAAGAAAGTAGCTAGATGCCAACCATCACAATCATTGGGTGGCAAGACGGAGGCATGGACAAGAAAGGGGGAAAGGACACACACACCAGCTCTTTTCAGAAAGGTTTCTGAAATTGCCACATGTATTTCTGCTTATATCTGGCTGGCCAGTTCTTAGTCACATGGCCACTTTTAACTGCAAGGGAGGCTGGGAGATAGTGTCTTTATTCCGAGTGACCAAATGCTCATTGAGAATCTGAGGTTCTATTTCTAAGGAGGAAGCAGAGCATGCACATTGGGACCCAGCAGTTTCTGCCACAATATGAAACTCTTACCCCTAAGATGGCATAATGCACTGAAGGAAGTCACCCCAATCCACTTAGGATGGAGAACTGTCTCTCTACTAGGCAAATGCCTATAACCCTGCAAAGGTTTTAGGAGTCAAATGCATATCATTGTGTATTTGATATTTAAAGTATTCATAACATTGAAGAGCCTTTTTTTGGCATATTAGAGTATGAACACATTAGCCTTGTGATTCCAATTTTAAATGTATAATTGATTTTAGGCTTTGGATTTTTTGTTGAGATGCATACAAACCTTCTTATACTTACTTTATAAATGATACCAGACTGATAAGAGAGCTTGAAATTCACTGTATGTATAAGTCTTTAAATTAGATTTTCCAAATTGGCTTAAGTACTTTGGAAAGTTTGCTTGTCAGGTCAGGCAGTGGAAGTGTTTAAAAAGGGAAACTGGATGTGTTAAATTAGTAAGTCCTGTGTAAAATGTTGAAGATAATTTAATTAACCGAGTTTGCAAATGGCTGGATCGTTGAACTGAGTTTTAGTGGACTGACCATTAATCAAAAGCCCCTTGAAAGTACCTGTATAGAAATAGAATAATGGTTTGTAAATTTAACTTAAAGGCTTAAGAATGACTAGGTTTTTCCTTTTAAAGCTACTGTAATACATTGAACGCTAATTAAATAACAAGCTCTTGCAAGGAACCTTTTCTGTAGACAAAAATCTCTTCAACACTGACATTCTCAAGCTCACTGGAGAGCTGAGTTGGGATTTTGGTGATCCCAAAGTCCCTGCTTGTGTTCTGTCCACACAGCGATGGCAGCCCAGGTGGGAAAATTAAGGGGATGGAATTGTCAGGAACAGCACCTGGCTGGATGGGAAGAAGGCAAGAGAAAAGGCATCCAGAATGAACCGCCTGCAGGTCGCGCACAGGTGTACCGCTGCCCGTGCAGGCTGCCAGGGCCCCTCGGAGGATCCCCACCACCCCGTCTTACTCATCTCGCCCTCCTAAGCTCATACAGGGATCTTCACTGGACACTCCCCCTTTGGAGAGAGGAAGGAGGTCCTGGGAGACCTCATGAACGAGTCAACGCTGACGCTGAGGCCCTCAGCGGAGCTCTGGAGGTGAGGGCGTCCCCAGAGCCATTTCCTCCCTCTGTACCTGGGAAGAAAGGAATCCTGGACATAATACTAATTTGAAAACAATCACCACTAACTTTTGTAGTCAAGGCTGTGGGAGAGGCACCCAGATCCTCATTTCTGGCTGGTGTTCCCCTCCTCCATTGCTCTGAATCTAGCTCACTGCTGATGCCTTCTCTGGAAAATCCATTCCTCCCGCTGTACCCGGCAAACCTACCCTCCCCCACCCCAGGCCTGGGGTGCGAAAGGCCAGCGCCTCACCTCATACGGCTGCAGTTCATGTTCCAAAGCTCACATGGGAGCAGTGTGAAGCTAGTCCACAGCTGAGACCACTTTCCTGCTTAGCAACATGTTGCAGAAAGTGGGTTTGACTGCCAAAAAGCTCATCTGAGGATCAAGTCTCCTGCTTGGCCTTCAACTTCCTCCCGGTCTTGCCAATGGGTTTCAGCCCTGGACAAGATCCCTGTGGATTCAACGAGACCAAAGAAACGACAGTGAAACGTTCTTGGAGTGAAAGGGTTATACCCAACTTTATTCCCACGGTGGCAGGTCAATTAGAATCCAATCCACTCAGAGTGAGTCTGCATGCAGCAAGCCGGTCTCTGTCTCTGGGCCTCTCTGCCTCCACAGCCATCTTGGTCTCTGTCCTTGGTGCTGCCACCACTCCAGCGGCATCTCTGCTCACTTGCAGCCTTGCAGCTGTGCCACCGCACAGTGCAGAGCACTGGGCGAAGTTCTTTATATAGTCAATAGTAATGTATTGCCCACACGTGTGCAGTGAGCTAGCCGACCAGGGCCAGGTGAGAATCCTAGCCACAGGAACCTTCACTTTATCCACACACCCCATATTGGATAGCCACCACCAAGGCCCTCAGTGTTTGTGGAGTGAATGACTTGAGTTATGTAAAGCTTGGGTACATAGTAGGCCCTCATTTAGTTCCCATTGCCTCCCCAGAAGACCCATCTCTTTTGTAGTGACCCAGGGAAGTCTCGAGGACATTCTGTTCCTCTGTTGTGACCTTGTGCCAGCCTTCAGGGCTGTGTCTGGTCTTTCTGGAGATCTTACAGTACAGGCAGGGACACCCTTGGTGCAGCGTTTCTGGGTGAGTCTGCAAAGATGCTACATTCACAGTAGGTGGCAGCAGTGAGACAGGTGGCTACCAGCCACCTGTGTCTGATCTGGGAGCGCCCCCTTGTGGCGAGACATGCAATACATGTTGAGGGAGGTCTTCCCACCATCCAGGTGGTCTTGTGGTTCAAATTCCTCCAGACAAGAAGAAAGTGAGAGTTTAAGGTGGGAGCTCAGGGACCTATTTAGCATAAAAGGGTAGCTGTTAGCTTTGAGACGAGAAGGCTTCTCTTTACTTCCTATTAAAATCGGCTGTTCCTCAGTGCTATAACCGTTTTCTCTCTTTAACAGCAAAAGCAATTTCCTCACTGCAGAGAAAGTTAGGAGACTTGCCATAGGTCTCATCTGCCCTGGTGTAGAGTGAGCTTGGGCAACTGGCTTTTAGAAGTTGAAGTCTTACTCAAGAACAAAGCACTTTTCTTTCTCCATCCAACCCATCTGTTCTCCACTCAAAATTTAAAATGAAGATAAAAACAGGCCCAACTTATTTTGTCACTTAGCCCTGCCTGAAGCTCTGGGAGAAATATTAAGTAATAGTGATGATGATGAAAGCAGCAATAATAAACTACAAATGAAGAGGGCTCTCAGCTAAGATTGAAATGCCTGAGTAGAAGAGCATTTCATGAATACCCACCTTCTGAACATCCGACAGGCTCTGTCACTTCACCCCTTCATCCATCTTCTTGTTAAACAGACTGACATTTACCTGATTCAGGCCCCCATTGTCTCTTGCCAGCATGTCCTTACCAGACCCCTTTCTTGTCTCTCTTCCTCTGGTGGTTTCCCCCAGCCCTCACATGGCCATTCCCCTGCCTCTGCGCGGCCTCTGAAACTTCAAGATCCTCAAGTCATCCACCTGCATAAAACCCTCCAAGGGCATTTTGTTCCAGGCCAGGTGGTCAAGTCCAAATTACCTGTCCAGGCATTCAAAATCTTTTCCCATCTGGCACATTCCATTTCTCCTTGCTCGCCTGGCCCCATCTCCTCACTGTAACCTCCATGCTCACTAAAGCCCCAGAGGCTCTCCCAAATACCTGGATCCTATTTACCTGCAACTGCCAGCCCTTTGACTACAAGGGCCTTCCCTCCCTCATTTCCCCAGAAGACTCTACTTATCCTTCAAAATGTGCTGGGTGCATCCATTTACCTTGTCACGACCACCATTTCACCAGTCAGCATGCTTTATTATAAGGAATTATCATCCTTCTCCCTCCCTCCACTGGACTGTGAGCCCCAGGGAGGCAGAGTCTTTTCACAGTCCTCACGGCATTCTTAGGTCTAGAACAGTGCCTGGTATTCAGAGGGTGCTCAATAAATCTTTTATGGAAGGATGAACGAATGAACACAATATCTCTACGGATGCCTGGGTCTGGCTGAGACCAGTAATTCTTCCTGGGTCCTCTGAGATTTGTGGCGAGCCTAGCTATTTCTCCTGCCATCACAGCAGCTCTCTGCACCTTTGACAAAGGCTCACCTCTTGTCACCTGTGGATGCTTTTGCACAATCTGGTTGCTTGGCATTCGGAACTGGTTTCTCAGGGCTTGTGTTCCCAGAAGCCCACCCTGTCTCTAAGGCTGATGGGAAGAATAATGTCCTGAGGGTGGATGGGCCCCCCAGAGATGATCCAGCCGCTGGGCTGTCAGCTGGACTCTGCAGTCAGGGCCAAGGCCCTGGGGAAGAAGGTGGCAGCAGATGAGATCCATCTGGAGGGGCCGGCAGCTGTTGCCTGCGACTAACTGGTGCTGCTGTGCTCTGTGCGGGCCGCAGGCACTGTTTCCTCCAATCTCCTCAAGTGGTTCTTTGCTGGCCTCGGGTAGTTTCCTCACAGGTGTGATGTGGTGGTTGATTTTGTGTGTCAACTTGATTGGGCTAAGGAAAGCCCAAAAAGCAGGTAAAACATTATTTCTGTGTGTGTCTGTGAGGGTGTTTTTGAACTAGATCAGCATGTGAATTGGTAGACTGAGTAAAGAAGATAACCTCACCAGTGTGGCTGGGCCTCAGAATCCCACTGAATCCCTAACGAGAACAGAACAGGGGAGGAAGGGTGAATTTTCTCTTTGCTGGAGCTGAATCATCCATCTTCTCCTGCCCTCAGACGTCACACGTCAGCATGCCTGGGTTGGGGGTTTGGGACGTGGACTGGGATTCGCCCCATTGGCTCCTTGGTTCTCAGGCCTTTAGACTCAGACTGAATATACCCAGCTTCCAGCTTCTCCAGCTTGACGACACCAGAGAGTGGTACTTCTCGGTCTCCATAACCACATAAGCCAATTCCCATATAAATCTTTTCTCCATGTGTCTATATCTATGTCAATGTCTGTATTGATATCTGTCTAGGTCTAACAGCTGCCTGGTTAAATCCTGCCTGTGCTGATAATTTAGGTCTAAATCTATCTCCTGTTGGTTCTGTTTCTCTAGAAAATTCTGGCTAATCCAGATGTTCTCAGCAGCACTAGATGAGAAGGAGACTTGCGGGGCCTCTGCAGATCTCCAGAGCGTATCTGCATTCTCCCTCTTTCTCTCAATCCCTCTCTCCCCCTTTCTCTCCCTCTTGTTATACAACCTTCTCCCCATGACACTCTGCCCTGTAAACTCCAGTTACCCTGGCCTCCCAGCCGCATCTCCTCAGCTTGGAGGGACCAGTGGGCTCAGCTTGGTTTCCTCCTGCTCTGTGGCCTGACAACGCTCCCCAGACAGGAAGCTGGGGCAAGCATAGGGCTTCCCTCGTTGGTTTTCTCTCTCTCAGGGATCACCACCTCTATTGTCTGATGTCCAGTGTTCTCGAAACTATTATTTCCTCTATTTTGGCGAGTTCTTTGTTTCAGGTGAGAGGATAAACTCATTCCCTGTTATTATGATGCCTGGAAGACAAGTCAGTGAATGAGCCCAGATCCTCTCAAGGAACCCGTATACCTCCAGGCGTTTCTGTTGGGCAACTAGGATGGGGCTCTATTGACCTAAGCCATCCTAATTCCTCTTTAAGTATTTTTCAAAAACACTGGATGGGACCAAACAAGACCAATGGACTACATTTGGCCCTGGGGGCATCATTTTGAGATTCATAGTCTACTTGTTTCCAGATTTTTCTTACTTATTTTAAATTGTTAGAGCCTCAAAATAAATAGTCTTTACCATTTTACAGGTGCAGAAGTGAAGACTCAGGCAAGTTAGGCACCTGCTCCAAGTTAGGAGTCAGGAGAGACAGGGTTTGAACGTGGGTATTCTCTGACTTGAAAGCCAGTGCCCTGTCTCACGTGAGATTCCTATCGCTTTGTCCCCATCTGCACCATTAGCATTTCACACTGTGTGTGTGTTTACTGTATGCCTCTCCCCGCCCACCCCCAACACTGAGCCCTCGATTGGCAGGAGATGATGAGGACGTTTTTTGCTGACCACATGACTTCTCTCCTTCCCCCTGCCTCCTTAATGTTCCCTGCCTTCTCTGCCCACCTCTGTCTATTAAGTGGGAGGCGTGTTAGCAACAGCGCAGGTGGGATTTAAACAGGCAGCTGTTACCTGTGAGATGCTGTCCTGGCCACCACAGGAGCGAGGATGTGGAATGATGCCAGTTCAAGGTAGAGTCGGTTCATTGGAGGGGAAAAGGGCTGCTTGGCTTCAGGTAAACACAACTTCTGGGAGATTTAAAAAAATGGTAAGGCCAAAGCTGTTGGAGGGAGATTGTCAACTCAGTGGTCCCCAAAAATATTCATATTAACCAACAAGATATTAGCATGATTGATAAAACCAAAGAACTTGACTATTGATGAAAATACAAGGAAAAGATGCTCTCATATGCTACTAATAGCAAGATAAGTCAGTATTATTTTTCTGGAGGGCCATTTAACAAAGCTTATCAAAAGCCTTAAATATGTTCATGGAATTTGACTCAGCAATCTCACATCTAGAATGTTCTATCCTAAGGAGATACTCAGACAGGTGCACCATGATTTATCCATGAGAATGCTTATTGCTGCATGGTTAATATTGTATTAGTCAAAAACCAGAGACTTGATAAATGCATCAGTTCAGAAGGCAAATATACAGAAGAATAATGACTTGAAAAATGTTTATGAATAGTTGCTGAATTAAGGAAACTCAATTATAGAATTATATGCATGTTAATCATAATTAATACTTGCTTTGTGCTTTACTTACCTACTTAGTTCACTTAGTCCTTACAGTAATCTTATGAGGCAGGTACTGTCCTTGTGGATGTGGAAGCCGGAGCATGGAGATGCCAGCTGACTTCCCCTTAGGTAGGTGGTAGGTGGCAGAGCCATCTTCCAACTCCTGATGCGAAAGTCCAGGCTCCCAGACCTTTAACAACCACACCAGCTCTTCCCAAAATGTGGTCACTGGACCAGCAGCTCCACATCACCTAGACCTTGTTGGAAATGCTAATTCTTAGGCTTGACCCCTTGCCTTCTGATC